GATTTTTGAAGTTTTCGGTCCGATAGTGAGTTTTTGATCCGAGTGTTGGATTTGAATTCCGGAAGTTGCTGTAGCTCCGTCATGTCATTTGGGATGTGTGTGCAAAATTTCAGGTCATTCGGACGAGGTTTGGTTAGGTTTTTGATCGAAAGCATATTTGGTTAGAATTTGAAGTTCTTAGGCTTGAATCCTTGATTTAATCGGGTTTCCGGTGTTGTTTGGGGTGTTTTGAGGATTGGTGCAAGTTCGAATAAGGTATTAGGTGGTATTGGTGCTTTTGGTTGAGGCTCCGGGGGCCTCAGAATAATTTCGGGTGGTTAACGGGGAAATTTTCTAAGTTGTTGCAGCTGGTATGTTTTCCCTTCTGGTATTTTCGCTTCTGCGGTTTGGGAACCGCAGAAGCGGCTTCCTCATCGCAGAAGCGATTTTTGGCTTCCCCTCAAAGACCGCAGAAACGGTCATCATTCCGCAGAAGCGGAAGCGCTGGAGCGGTCATGTGTCCGCAAAAGCGGAATTTCCCCCTTTAATGAGAAACCGCAGAAGCGGTTATTGTGCCGCTTAAGCGGGACCGCAGAAGCGGTCCCTTGTCCGCAGAAGCGGAAATGTCTGGGCAGAAATAGAAAATTTCGAGGGTTTAATTTCGTAAGTTTGAAAATCAATTTTGAGCTCAGACAAGGGCGATTCTGAGAGGATTTTGGAGAGGAGATTATTGGGTAACATTTCTATGATCCTTTCTAATTATATTCTATCATTTAGTAGTTAAATCCACCTTTTAAATTCGAATTAAGGATCAAAAATGGAAGAATTTGGGTGAAAGTTCATTGACTAAACTATTGGGTTTTGAGGGAGCATTCGACCTCCGATTTCTGAGATTTTTATATGGTTAGACTCGTGAGAGTACGAGGTTTCTGAAAATGTGAAAATTATTCGGTTCCGAGACGTTGGCCTGAGGGGCATTTTGGTCATTTCACCTATTTTCGCGCCTTAGCTTTAATTTCAATAGTGGAATCAGTTGTTTGCAATATTATTTACGATTTGTAATTTAATTGAATAGATTTGGGCCATTTGGAGTCGGATACTCGTGGCAAGGGCATCGTTCCCTAGTTGACTTCGCACCGGTTCGAGGTAAGTGGCTTGCCTAACCTTGTGTGGGGGACTTCGTCCCTTAGGATGTGATAATTGGTAATTGAATGCCTTGTACGTGAGGTGACGAGCGCGTACTTGAGCAAATTGTTGAAACCTGGATTTTTACTTAAATACTTGATTTGGATTCTCTTTCATATTTGCCTTACTTTACTTGCTTT